AATCCAACCTTGCCTCGCACAATTGCTCCCCAGTCTTCCGTGCACGAGCTGATCCCAGCACTGTAGTTGGTGATGTACGCCCCTGTACTTTCGTGCGCGACTGTTCCTAACGGAGTTAGTTAGATGCCGTCGAGCTCTACCATCGCCGCCCACATCTCGCAGCCGTTTTCTCGCAGCGCCAGGGTCTGCGGGGTGCATTCCCCTCATCCACGGCCGCTGCGCGCCCCTCTTCTCGCACGGACTGCTCCCAGCGTTGTGGCTGGTCGTGGCCCACCCGCGCGCTTCGCTCAGCACCAGCGTCCACTGCCATTGCGCTCGCCCTTTCTCGCACGGATTGCTCCCAGCGCTGTATCTGATCGTGGCCCACCCGCGCGTTTCGCTCAGCACCAGCGTCCGCTGAGGAGGAGGAGGGCGACGTGGAGGAGAAGGAGGAATGTGCTCAAGCGAATCAAGCCAGGCCGTGGGCAATCGGCCCGAGCACCCATGAGGTTGCCCTGAGCAAGTGGGCAGCTCTGCCCACTTGCTCGCGGCAGCCGCCAGCGCCAACGACTGTCGTGAGCAACCCCCACTGTCGCTCCGAGGTGCAAACGGGCGCCCCTCCAGAGAGAAATTTGGCCTTGGAGAAATACTTAGCGGGGCAGAGGCTCGCGACCGCCAGCGCTGGCGGCTGCCGCGAGCAGGTGGGCATAACTGCCCACTTGCTCAAGGCAGCCAGCTCTGGCGTCTGAGGGTTGCCAACGGCGGGTGTCCCAACTCCGTCGGTGGACCGCCCCAGCTCCTTCGATCGTGAGCCGTGGCGGATCGGGTCGCCACTGGTTCACGACAACCGCCAGCGCCGGCGGTTGTCGTGAACCAACCCGCTCACTCTGGCAAGAACCCAGGCTCCCTCTGGCAAGAACCGCTCCCTCTGGCAAGAACCCTTGCGCCCCAGGGGATGAGGAGAAGTCGCCGTTGGCTCACGACAACCGCCAGCGCTGGCGAATGTCAGGAGCCACCCGGCTCCCCCCTCTCGCAAGAAGCCGGGCCCCCTCTGGCAAGAACCCTTGCACCCCAGGGGGTGACCGCCAGCGGCCCACGACAAACGCCAGCGCCGGCGGCTGTCGTGAGCCACCCGGCCCCCTCAGGCAAGAACCCTGGCCCACTCTGGCAAGGAATCCTTTGCGCCCCAGGGGATGAGGAGGAGGGGGGAGGAAGGGAGGGACCGTGGCGGCGGGAGGGAGTAATAGAAGGGAGGAGGAGGGAGCAGGGGCGAGAAGGAAGGGGGTGGGAGAAGGGACGATGCCGCCGCCGGCGTTGCCGCTGCCGGCGACGTCGCCGACGTCGCCGCAGCCGCAGTCGCCGCCGGCGTCCTCGTCGTCGCCGTCGTCATCGCCACCGCTGCCATCGCCGTTGTCCTCGTCACCACCTGCGTCGTCGCCGTCGTCGTCTCCGTCGCCGACGCCGCCGTCGCCGCCGCCGCCGTCGTCGTCGGCGTAGTCGTCGCCGCCACCGCCGCCGCCATCGTCGTCGTCGTCGCTGCCGTCCCCTCCGCCGTCGTCGTCGTCGTCGTCGTCGTCGTCGTCGTCGTCGCCGCCGCCGCTGCTGGCGCCGCCGCTGCCGCCGCCGTCGCCGCCGCTGTCGTCGTCGTCGTCGTCGTCGTCATCATCGTCGTCGTCGTAATGTCGTCATCATGGCCTCCGTCGTCGTCGTCGCCACCGCTGCCGTCGCCATCGTCGTCGTTGCCGCCTTCGTTGTCGCCGATGTCGTCGCCGCCGTCGCCGTCGCCGCCGACATCGTCATCGTCGTCGTCGTCGTCGTCGTCGTCGCCGCCGCCGTCGCCGTCGCCGCCGCCGCCGTCGCCGCTGCAGCCGCCGTCGCTGGCGGCGTCGTCCCGGCGTCGTCGTCGTCGTCGCCACCGCCACCGCCACCGCCGCTGCCGTCACCGTCGCCGTCGCCGTCGGCGTCGTCGTCGTCGTCGCCGCCGTCGCCGTCGCCGCAGTCGTCACCCGGTCGTGATCGCCGTCGCCGCCGCTGTCGTCGTCGCCGCTGCCGTCGACGTCGCCCGTCGTCGACGTCGTCGTCGTCGTCGTCGGTGCTGTCGTCGTTGTCGCCATTGCCGTCGTTGCCGTCTGTCCTCGTCGTCGTCGTCGTCATCGTCATCTCCCTCGTCCTGGGCTCCACAAGCCTCCGAGAGTCTGGGCCCTGGGCTTACCAAGCCTGGCTGGCTGGCTACTGTGTCGACGACGTCGGCAACGCCGCCAGCTGAGGCGACAGCTGTGGCCTCCTCTCTCTCTCTCTCTATTCCCCTCCTCCTCCTCCTCCTCCTTCTCCTCCTCTTCCCTTCTCTCATCCTTTTCATTTCCCTCCTCCTCCTTCCCCTTCTCCTCCGCCTCCTCCTCATCTCCCTCCTCACACTGTTTTTCCTTCCTGGCTGGCATGTTTTGCCCCAGCCCCCCTCGAGGATCGAGGCGGGGCGTTTTCGGGCGTTCTCGATGAACTTTGGGGAACGTTTTGGACCTTTCTCTGGCCCCCGCGGGCCTCCGAGCCTCCTGGGACCTCTCGGGGTCAGGATCGGGGGCGAAAACAAAGCTTACCAAGTCTGGCTCCTCCTCCTTTTCCCCCTCTCCCTTTCGCTCCTCCCCTGTACCCTGTCTGGGCCCGCGGGTCCGAGCAAGCAGCGCCTCGCAAAGCTCAGGCCCAGACCAGAACAGCCACGCAGCAGCGCCACGCATGCGCCGCTGGGGCCAGCCCCGGCCAGCCCGGGCGCAGACCCGCCGGGGCCCGAACGTCGCCGACAACGAGCGCAGGCCAGACGCGGGCCGGGTCTGCCAGACTTGGGGAGACCCAGCGACAGGGGAGCGCCGAAGGCAGACGCTGAAACTCATGGCGGCAGACCTTGAGATCCAGGCGTGGCATTTTTTCCCCACGCGCGGTTTCGCTCCATTTCGGGCCGGGGGGCCCTCACATATCGATCCGGCTCGAAAAGTGACGCAGAACGATTGGATCAGGGGCTCCGGTCGTGATTCGTGGGATGCTGCCTCTTGTTGGCAACGTCGGATCTCAAGGCAGGGGGAGCGCCCCAGACCCCCTCGCGTCCTGAGAGAATCACGGCGGGAGGAGTTTCGCAATCTTCGGCCTCTGGTGGCCCCTGCTGGGCCTCGGGGCCGTCGAAAAGCAACGCAGGATGGCAGACCAGTTCCGGGGAGTAGGTCGAAACCGAACACTCTGTTGGTCGAAGGCAAACGCTGAAACTCATAGTAAGAGATGCGCGCGGAACGAATAGCCCGCCCAAGAATAGTGGGAACGTAATCTCCGCCGCGACAAGGAGGTTTTAGGACCAGTCCCATTCACCACCGTGAGAAAGGGGGGGAGGGGGGGGCAAAATAAAAAACTCTGAGGTTACCCAAACCAAGCACGCCGCGACGATGCCATGGCTAGCCCGGCCATCGCCGCGGCACGGCTCCCATGCCGCGCTCAGACGCACAATGAAGTTGAAGAGCTCGCCATCATCTGGCTCCCACCAGCTCCCTCTAACAGTCTAACAGGATGGGCAGATTTTCCACTACCACTACCATAGGTAGGACGGGGGAGACGGAAGGATGGGGAAGTCCTCCTCCTCCGCCTCCTCCTCCTCGTCCTCCTCTGCGTCCTCCTCCTCCTCCTGCTCCTCCTGCTCGTCCTCCTCGTCCTCCTCCTCCTCCTCCGCCTCCTCCTCCTCCCTCTCCTACCTATGGTAGTGGAAGTGGAACGTCGGGCCATCATAGGAAGAAGCCAGCCGGGACGGCAGGCTCCACACCAGCCCCAGGACCCGAGGGGCCAAAGGATGGGTGGGCCGGGGCGGCAGCGGCCAGCGCCGCACCCGGCCAGGGGGACGGGGGCAGGCCGGCTCAGAAAGAGAGAGGACCGACAGAAGAGCCGGCCCGTTTTTGGAGCCGGGAAAACAAGCGCTGCCGAGCTGGGCAGCCTCGCGAAAGCCGAGTGCGCCTCGGGCGAGGCCGCAACGCCGGCCATAAAAAAACGGGGTAGGCGGCTATCCCGGCGCGGGCCCCGCTGGCGCCCGAGCGAGCTACGGCTGGGAGCGACGGAAGGGACCCTGCAGAGGGCGCATCCGGCTCGGGGCCCGCAGGCGGGCCCAGGGAGAGCGTGCAAATGGCGGTGGACACGGGCGCCACAAATAGAAGAAGAGAAGACGCCATAAGCATAAACTCTTGGCGTTCCGCGCGGATGTCTTGGATCTGCGCTGAATCCCCCTCCCTGGCGCGCGGAGCGCGCCAGGGGCGGCGCTGGAGGCGCCGCCGGGGGAGCCCAGCGCGGATCCAAGAAATCCACGCGGAACGCCAAAAGTTCACGTTTATGGCGTTTTCCTTCTTCGGGCAAAAGGTTGTGGCAGGAGGAGGACGCAGAAGAGAATAGAGAGGAGGTGCGCACAGCTGGGCCTGGACAATTCCTGAGCACATCTGCCCCCAGGGCTTTGATGTCCCGCTGATCGGGGTCCGCGCGGCGGACGCAGCGGCCCCATCAGTGCCCATGGGCTCGGGCGCGGGAGAGAGAGGCCTCTCGAGGCAGTGGACATCCGCCCTGACCCTGCAGCGGTGCTAAACTGAGCTCCAATCATACGCATATGAACAGTGCACCGCACAGGGACGACAGGGAAGTTGAGGGAGAGGAAGAACAGGAAGAGCAGCGGGAGAAGCGGCAGCAGGAGGAACCAGAGGAGCAGGAGGACAACGACGCCGAAGAGCGGGAGAAGAAGAAGGAACTGGACGTGCGTCAACTCACGCCGCCTTTCAGTTCTGGGGGAGGCGTCCAGAATCCCACTTCGACTACACGCAAGAGTGTCCCTGGGTAAGAGTGACCTCTGGTGCGTGTCTTTCGTAAGGGGGGGGCGCGAAAAGGCCAAAACCAAGCGCGCACGCAGCCGCTACCGCTTCGCGCTCAGCGATCGGGGGACCCCATTGGGCCCGCACCAACGGTCACTCCGGCGCGCAGTGCAGCCCACCGCCCTTTTACTCCATCGGGACGGGTCCTCGCCACACATCGGCCCCTCGATGATCACGTCTGCGTGGTGAAGCTCCAGTCTCACATCGGCCTGCAGAGGCGGCGACCAAGAGAAGAGGAAAGAAGAACAAGAAAGCAGAAACCAGGGAACGACTGCCAGGAGGGATAACATGATATGTGTATGCGCACAGATGTTTAATACCTATATTTGGCGTTTTTCGCCACCCAGCCGTGGCGTTTTGCGTCGAAGTGCTGTGCCGCACGCCAGCCCACTCAGATCACAGAGAAGATGAAGGCGGCGCTGCATGGCCACCATGGGCGCCCTGCGTGACCGCAGCCTCAACCAGAGCCGCGCGACCATGAGGTGCGCCGCATAATGGCCCTGAGCACTCTTGCACAGCCACGGCATCAGGAGGCGCGCGACCGTGGACAACCGCAGGCAAGGGTCAAGACCCCTGACGGCTGCACGGACTAGGGCCCGCCAGCACCTCTCTTGCGGCCGTGCCCCCCCTCGGAGCACGACACACCCCCAGTGCCCTTTTCAGCTGGACTTTGACTGCGACACATCCCCGGCAGCCTGCAAAGTGGCTCAACGAATGCGGGCACGCAGCCGACAGCATTGAGAAGCCGTTGTTGTCCCAGCAAAGCAGCTGTAATTGAGCCGCGTCCGCCCGGGCTTGGTCAATGTAGATCTCGGCAGTTTCGGGCTCCTGCCAGCTGCCCAATTCCCGAGTCAACGCGCACGAACCGCACTTGATTAGATGCCACGTCGCGCCGCCACGTCGTAGGCAATGCGGAGTGATATTTGTCGTAGGTAGTTCCACGAGCGAAGCGACGTGGTGCAGCTTGTTCTGGAATGCGGCATGGCCACCTGCAAAAAGTAACGCCGTGGGCTCCAAGCCTTGAATTACAACTTGCACTAGCGCGATGATGGTGCGATCATAAATGCAAGCGTGTTCTGGCTCTCCCTTCCGTTCGGCGCCCTTGCTGTCCGGCAGATGCGCATCCGGCAGGCGGCCTCCCCTGGCAACCTCTACCTGCCGCCGCGCGAGCGCGAAGAGCTCCCCGGACCTGAGGAGCCCCGCGAAGCCAGGAAGCAACTGAGTACCGAAGAGCGTCCAGTTCCGAACCAGGGCGATCCCAGCGAAACCGATCACCATATCTTTGGACAAGAGGGGCGCACGGGTCCGCCGCACAGTGCGTGTCCACAGTGTAAGACAATGCGACGCCGTGTCCAATGTCCGACGACACCGCGGGTAGAGCCGCTTGGTGCCGCAAAGAAAATCACTAGCCCATCCAAGGTCCAATAAGGGTAGTCATCTTGAAACAATGGTTGATGCACTCGGCTGCCTCGTCGTCCAAATCCTCCAATGAACCGGGAAGCGAGTGCCCCACTGCATCCAAATAAGCAAGGAAACGATAAACAGCGCGACGAAAACGAACCGAAGTCGGCGACTGCAGCTTTGCAAACGTTAAGTGCTGAGGTTTCGGCCCCCTGATAGTTCGGCCCCCTGATAGTACGCGTCCGCCCTGGACGCTTCGAGGGCAAGAGACCTCTGCCCATCTTTCCGCGTCGAGTGCAGCCGACTGGCTGCATCCGCGTAGTTTCACGAACTGATTGTCCACAGGGTGAGCACGCACACGTCGCGCGTCTGGCGCCAGAGCCACGGCAGCATGCCTCCTCAAAGGCCGGTTCAACACCTTCGCACTTGATCTGCCTTTCGCCGCAATACACACTGCCACTTTCCTGTCAAACATATGGAACAAACCGATTGTGGTGAGGCGGAATCTGTCGCGCACGCCCTTACATACGTGAGAAACGCAATGAATTCTAAAGCAGAAGTATGTTGATACTTCCTCCACTTGTACGCCATGCGAGTTACCCACTGCCATGCCAAGGCAGGGCACGGCCATTTCTGGCGAGACCCATCTAACAAATATTTGGGCGGCAGGCGAACACCTGACCCTTTATAATGGGCACGTTTCAGCAAGGCGCGAAAATGGTCCATCTCGCGCCCAACCTCCATCTCGGACCGGAGCTGCGTGACCTCGGGGGCAACGCGGTGGAGGAGCTCGGGTTCGCTCCGTGCTCTGCCGGAGGGCCTTGAGGGCCCAGTGTTCTCTGAGCGCTGGAACGGCTGGCAATCTCGCAGCATCGGTCACCCTCATGACCTCCTGCACGACCTGAGCGCACCGCTGGTAAAACGAGAAAGGTAACCCATGCGCGCCCCAAGCGTTGCCGAGATCACCGTCGCCCCAAAGGCCCCCAGAATCCACGGCGATCTCACTGTGCCCAGGGCAAGTTGGACAATGGAGTGCTCGGTGCAGAATCTCGCAGTTGTGCACCGAGGCGACGCCTTCGTGCCCTCGCCCTTGATGGCAGCACGCCCGAGCAAGCGTGAGGGAAACTCCAGGCTGGCTCAATGGTTCGATCGCCTTGGGTCGGCGCCAGTCGACGCCATCCCAATAGCCGCCCAAAACTGCAACTCCCCAGTTTTTACTTCTGCACTCCAGCCTCGTCAACGAATAGTTCAACCTGTCCTCCCCGAACACATGAGTGTTGAGAGACGCACCAAACCTCTTCTTCAATTGGCTTTCAGGGACCCAGCCATAGCGCAGGGCAAGGCACCAGCTGAGGAGAGGGGCAGCGTTGGCTGCGAAGGTGGGGTCGGACTTGGGGCCCCCGCAGAATTGGCATTCAGGCGTCCTGGATCTCCCACTGGTGGGCCCGAAGATCACCTGTCCCAGGGTCGCGCGCATCTCAGAAAAGGCGGGCGTCGACAATCCCGATCACCGCTCCGCCATAGCTGACGGCAAGCAGGCCCCCTGTTTCGGCCACCTCCACGGCCCCTCCGAACGCAGAGCACAGCCCACGGAGCCCGCGGATCCTCGGCCTCAAGGCAGTCACTCGGCCTCGCTGGACCACATTTCTCCGCCTGTGCCGTTGGGCCGAAAATCGGCGCCGAGATTCTCGGTGGAGCTTTTCGTTTGGAATCCCCAATCCTTGAGGAAAACCGAAATATCCTTCCCAACCCCGCAGTCGGCGGCCATGACCACGCCTCTGCCCTTAGAAGCGACCAGATAGAGGCCCTGGAGCTGAAGCAGAAGACAGCGCGCCGCCGCTCCTACATTCTAGCCGTGGTGAGAGAGAGCTCCCATGCCAAACAGCGCGATGTCATCCACCACGTTAAAAACACTCTCAGGCTCGGCCAGTGGAGGACAATCGCGTCCAGAGGCGCGAGGGAGGCGAGTTTCATCGGATACGTCGCATATCCGCATCCTGCGATGATCCTCTTGGCCTGCGAAGATCACACCTGAGGTGATCCGACTCATGGGCAGGAGTTTGGGCGCCTGGTAGAGTCGGAAAAGAACAGGCGAACAAAAAGGAACCCGTGCCTCATAGCCGCATGGGCGAGGGGGATGCGCAAAACCGTGTGTTTTCCTCGTGGCCCTGGCGAGGTCCACCAGGGCCGCGCCAGTGCCAGCCCCGACCAGACTGCCGAACTCGGCGGCTTGCGCTCGCTCCCAAGCCGCGCGCCCACAGCTACGGCCAGCGGACCCGCAGTGGCACGAGCGGCGTTGACGGGCCCCCCACTCATCAGCATCATGGCGCGCGGCCTTACTCATGGCGCGGCAGATCCCTGGAGGAGGCCTGCGGGCCTGAACCCCCTCGGGGAGGAGGGCGGCAAAGACCCGCGCCAGCTGGTCGGGCGCATGCCCGAAGGCACCAGGCCCAGAGCGCACGCGGACCCAAGGGCCCCCATCGGACACCTTCGCAAGGTCTCTCGGATGGATTCTATCGACCCCAAGCGCCGTGCGCCCCTTAAGCTTCCCGGCGGCATCTCCGACCTGGGTAGCGGTAGGCGGCGGGGGAGGCCTGCCCACGGCCATTCCCTCCCCCCGGTGTTGGGCGATCTGGTGATCAAGGAAATTTAAGGGGTCGGGGAGGTCAGCGCAGCCTTTGGGCGGGTTCCAGACTCCTTCGCGGGCCCCCTGCAGGTATTCCATGAGGGCCCCGGGGCCAGGGGGGGGGGGGGCTGGCCTGGCTTCGCGGCGGCCGAGGTCCATCCGAACGGCGCCTGCGAGTACTTGTGCGCTTTCTCTCCGCCCTTGCCCACCACTTCCTTCGCTTCCTTGACCCCGTCACTCTATCGGGCCCCCCTGTCAGCTTTGAATTTCTCTTCTAGCGCGACGGCCAAGCGGCTCGCCTCCTCGCGGAGGGTCTGCAGCTCGGCAACCCGGAAGGCAGAGAGGGCATCAGCACTGCCAGGTCTCCATTCGCTCCTGAGGTCGGGTGGCCATTTCAAATTCCCGCTGGCCAGCCGTCGCGACTCGAGCTCTCCCCGTTTTGACTCCTTCATCCGGAGGTAAGTCGGCTCCTGAATCCAAATGCTGACTTTGCGCCAGGAGAGAGACTGAGGGCATCCGAGAGGAAACGTACCTCCTGAGATCTGAATGGCAGAACCTGCCTGAGTCGCTTCTGCCGGCTCCGACCAAAATGTTCAAGGCTGTCGGCCCGGCAAATCCCCCTCCCCCCCCCCCCCAGTTCACGCTCGATTATCCCAGAGAGGTCACCGAAGCCCCGATCCAGGCCCTGACGCGACCCCCCTTCCTCCGCACACCTGCAGATGCACGAGTAGCCAAGCGGCGCGGGCGGGGGGGCCGCGCGGAACTTCTATGGGGAACGCGCGCGGCCTAGGGGGGGGGCCAAACTTAGCCCTGCATGGGGCCCCCTCTCAAAAAACTGCCGACAGGCAAATGCGGACTCGTGGTCGCACCCGCGCCGCGCTCGACCCGGGGAAGCGTCGGCGCCAGTGCCGCCGAACAAACGAAATAGTCGAGCGTCTTCCACTTCTGGGCCGTCGAGCGGCATGCGGGGGCGGAGGGGGCCGCGACCTGGCCCCCAAGCCGCTCGGCCCAGCCGGAACTCTGAAGGGCGTAGGGCTCGCAATTCCAGCCCCCCCATGACGGACGGGACTCCCCATTCAAAAAAGCCTCGCCGAGGCGAGCCAGCAAGTGCCCGCCCGCCTCCCCTGGGGAGTCTCCCCGGGGAAAGTAGACGCTCCCGAGGGCGACGCCCCCTGGGAAGAAGGCACTGACCAGCGCCAGCGCGCGCCTGCGGGGGGCGAGGGGGGAGGGGGGTGCGGCTCAGGGGGGGGGGGAAGGCCGTGGCCAATGCAACTTCGGGCAGCGATTCCAACCCCGCTGGGCAGTCCTCCAAGGTCGGTCGCGATCGAGGGGGTGAGGATGCACTGCCAGCCGCGCGAGCGCATCATGGCCTCGACCTCCGCCCCCTCCTCGGCCTTCAACGCGAGATCTGGGAGGCAGACGATCGAGGCACTAGTCTGCTTCCCCAGATGCCGCTTAAAGGATGCATGCGAGATGCAATTGCGCGTCTCGATCTGGATAGCCTCGCGTTTGCCCGCGCTGGCCGCGGGCGCGGGGAACAGGCCGGGCAGGTCAATCGGGCAGGCAGGCGGCTTGGGCAAGCCCCCTGCCGTCTCTCTGCCCTGCGGGGCTGATGCGCAGAGGTGTGGCGGCCCCATCGGCCAACCTGCCGACGGGCCGCCCGCTGCCCAGCCTGGGCCCTGCCCCGGGTCGGGCTCATTCCTGGGCGCCGCCGAAGTCGTCTGAATCGTCGGCGCCCTGCCTTGAACAAGGCCATCGCGCGGTGCGCTGCGCCGCCCCTCCAGCGATTCATCGAAACAGGGCGCCGCTCGGGAGGCGGGCCGCGGGGGGCCTGGCTCATCCGAGGGATGCGCCTGGAACGGCGCCACCACTTTCTCTGAGGCGGAGAGCGCGACGCCCGTCGACAACCCAACCGAACCACTGGTGGTCGCCCCCGTCAGAGCGGCCAAAGAAGCTGCGCCGAGCTGCCCAATGGCCCCCATCCTGTCCCCGAGGCCGCGCAGTCGGCGGGGAGGGCGGTCGGGCCCGGGAATGCTCCACGAGGAGCGGGTGTTCAAACTCCCCATGTAGCTGCTGATCACGGTCACTTCCATGTGCTACTCCCCCCCTGGAACTCCCGGCTGAGGTAGCGAGGGCCCCGTCGCCGTGCCGGCCCCCCCGGGGAGGTTCAAACTGCAGGCGGCCCCAGCCCTTTCCCGCCGATGGGGTGCCCGGCCACCTCCAAGAGCCCGCGCCGTCCTCGCGCGGATGCCGTCCTCCGCGAAGCCGACCTTGGCTTTGGCGATGCCGGGTGCCGGGGCTTCTGCTGGCGCTGCTGCGCAGGCGCTGCCACTTCCTGCTGGGGCTGCAGGGGCCGCGCTGCACGGTGCAGCGGCGGCTGCGCCTCCCGCGCCTGCTGGCGCTCCATGATGCACAGGCACTGGGTCACCTTCTGCGGGCTTGCCTTCGCCAGCTCCGCCTGCCTCGCCGTCGGGGGGAGGGGGGGGGGGGGGGGGGGGGCGCGTTTGCAACCGAGGCGTGGCAGATAGGCGGTATGCTCTGCCTTGATGCTCTCGACCTTGGCCATGGCGTCGCGGTGCATGTCCTTCGTGGCTGCCTGCATTTGGATGCGAAGCTGCTCCTTCCCTTCGTCCAAGATGTTGAAGTCCTCCCGAGTAAGCTCGAACTCGTCGCCAATCTTGAAGATGCCATCGATGTCGATGAGGGCCGCGATGTACGACTTGCCATCAACGACGCCTGCGAGCGGAACCTTCCCTCCTGCAGCGTGCCGCTCGCAATCGCCATCCTAATGTACCCCATATTTACTAACTCTCCCCGCAAGCTCCAATACGACGGTGGCGCACTCAGCGTCCGCCTCAGCCAGCGCCGTCTCCAACTGCTTGACGCACGCGAGCTGAGTCTTGACCCAAGCTCGGTCGGTATCCAGCTTGTCCACCTCGCCTCGGAGAGCCTCCTCAAGCTTCTGAATGCGGACGTGGTGCTCCTGGGCTCGCTCCTGGACCGTGAGCGTGGGCCCTCGCTTGAGGGCTTCCAGCTGCGCCAAGTACTTGCGGGCTGTGGCCTGGTCGCCAAGCTCGTTCGCCAGCTTGGTGCCACTCTCGAGTCCCTCGGCACTTGGACCGTCTCCACCGTTGCCGCTGGCTGCGCCTCCACGCGACTCAGGCTCGCCTGGGGGACCGTCGCGCGATTGCCACGCAGGTGCCCGAGAAGCCCTTCGAGCACGGCCACCACTAGGAACCAGACGAAGGGCGAGCTCATCTGCGTTAGTCGGGGCTTCGACCTTCCGCTCGTTGCAGTGCTTGCAGTACTCGAACGACACCACACTCTGTGCAGCCACAATACACGCATGTCCACACACCCTCCGCGCGAGGTCCTCTGGATGCCCCTCGGCGAAGGGGTTTGCCGCTGCCCGTGGCTGACTCGGGTCCGCGGCTTTTGCCTTTCCATACTGCGTCTTTGCCTCCGCTCTCCCGCCACAGGGGTGCCCATGGCTGCGCGAGAGACAGAATGCCAGCACAAAACAGTTGGTGCCAAGCACCACTGTATACGGAAATGGAATACGTAGGCAGCTGTGCTGCGGATATGGAGAGGTCTGTTCCCGAGGCAAACCCGCCTTCGTGAAGCAGCCCCTGGGCGAAGCGGGTTGGCTCAACCACCTTGACGAAATTGCAACTTGAGCCAAAATGGCTACGGAGCCTCCTTCTCCTCGTCCTTTCTCGTTGTTCGGACATTAGGGTTAACCTGTTGCGTGCTGAAGTGTTCAGAAAAATCGCCGACTTAGGCGCGGTCGCAATCGAATTGGGCCGCGGACGGTTGCAGAGAAAGAAAGCCTACTCCTCATTCTCCTCCTCATCCTCCCTCCGCCTCCGCCTCCTCCTCCTCCTCCTCCTCCTCCTCCTCCTCCTCCTCCTCCCCGTGTTTCAGGTGCTGACCGTGCTGTGGCAGGCTCTGGTATGAGGTCCCCTTTCGTGACGGCATCCTCGGATCCCACATACCGCGAGCTGCAGTTTAATCGGGCCGCGGGGGCAGGGTGGGACAACCTGACGGCGGACTACCTTTTGCTCGTGTCGCCGTTCTGCCATTATTTCCGCCTCGCTCCTGTCCATCACACAGAGGTTTATATACAACATCGTCTCCCATTGACTTATCTCGTCTCGCCCGAGCTCCGACATCTGTGGCCGCCCGTGCTGCGGCGCGGCCCGTGACAGGAGGCCTGTCGTAACGGCGCGGCCCGTTCCAGGATATGTTTGTCCTGACGGCGCGGCCCGTGCCAGGACACAAGCTTGCGCTCTTCGACTTTGGCCATAGCGCCTCCCGTGAGCGCTGTGGACGTGAGTCTCTCACTGTGTACTCTGTCGCCCAGCTCATCGCAGCTCGGCGCCCGCCGCTGAACACTGGAGTGCCTTTCTCGCTCGTTCTCCGGCATCTGCGGGTTGTTGGAGGAGGAGGGCGGAGGGCTTGAGGAGGGGAGGCGATTGCCCAGCTAGGCCGTGTGCCCTCTCTCGCCTCCTATAAATCCTGTCCGCATGTGCACGTTGCTCTTGCTCTCCGAGCTCCAGGCAGTGTGCTAATTGAGGAGGCCTCGTGAGGGTGGCGAAAGTGGCAGCCGAGCGCCACCCCGAGCTGGCCTCCTCCAGCAGCCTCGCCCCTCCCGCGCCCTTCATCATGAGCTTCATTGGTGTTGCTTCTCCATGATGTCTCCTCTATTTGTCATGCTTTGCTCTGTACTGTGCACGTCCTTTGTATAGGGGAACGAACAATGACATAAACATACAAAATTCGGAGGTCTGCGCGGATTTCTCGGATCGGCGCTGGACCCACCAACCCCCTGGCGCGCGGATCGCGCCAGGGGCGGCGCCGGAGGCGCCGCCAGGGGGCTCCAGCGCCGATCCGAGAGATCCGCGCGGACCTCAGAGTTTTTATGTTGACGTCATTGTTCGTTCCCCTATTGCACCTGCGGGCCACCGCGGGCCACTGACTCGGCGGCGAGCGAGAGGGGGAGGTGAGAAGGAGAAGGCCTTCTCGGAAGGCGGCGGGACTTCTCAGAAGCCCTCGTGCCTTCTGAGATTGGTTTTTGTCTTCGGGGAAGGCCTAGAAAGCTTCTCAGAAGGCCGGGGGGCTTCCGAACCTTCTGTGAAGACCTTCTCCTTCTCACTTCCCCCCCTCGCTCGCCGCCGACTGACGCTGCAGGCGCAACCGAGCGCAGCTTAGCCTCCGCAAGAAAAGACAAGAACCCTGCCTCGGCCTGTACGCCCTCGCGCTGCAGGGCCGCCGCGAACTCCACGGAGCTGCTGGCGGGGACGGTCTTGTCCTGCTGGCGAGAGGATCGAGGAAAGGGGGGGTGTTCACTCAATGCCTGCCACTGCTTTTTGCACGTGCTCGCACCCTCTCCTCTCCGCAGCTTTGATGATTGGACCAGGCCAGAGCCCGACAAGGGCGACGGTGCCACCTGATTTTGCAGGCATAGCGTTTGTGAAAACATCCATCTCAGAGGTGGGGTATCGAGGGGCATCCAGGATCGAAGATCCAGCATCGAGCATCGAGCCTCGAGGATTGATAATCGAGCATCGACCGTCGAGGAACCAGCACCGAGGACCCAGCGTCGAGGATCCATCGAGGGCCGAGAGTGGTGTGGGCAGGTGTTTGGACGACCCTTTGGCTTTTCGTTTTCGCCTGTGGCCGCCCCCGCGGAGGCCTCGGGGGGCGTCTGGGGGCCTCCAGGGGCCCCAGCCCTGCGGAGGCGGGGGGCCCCACCGACTGAGCAGCCGCCCCGCTCCCCTCTCCTCAAAACGACCCTTGTCCTGGACTCGGCGCGTCTACAGTGCAAAGTGCGTGCCGCTAGCACGGCCCGCTGTTGGGGCCTCCGAGGCAGAGGGCTGCGGGGAAGCGCTGCCGCAAGTCCTTCTCTCCCGCCCGTGCTGCACTGTGCATGCAGCTGCCTTGCCAGAAACTGAATTCGGACCGATCTTCACAGATGCTCGAAGCAACGTCGACGGGAGCAAACGAGTGCACTGCTGTCGTTGTGTCCTCTACGTCTCCTTGTTGGAGGCCCATGGGATGGCGCCAGTGACACCTGAACTGCCACGGCAGCACAATCCACTATGGCGGCTGAACCTTTGTTCCCGCTCCGATGCTTCAACGTGAACGCATCTTACGAGGCTAGTCTGGTTGGGGGTTCGTGCGAGTAAGCTCGGATGGCCAGTGGACGTGCGACCGATGGCGCTAGCTTCGCACCTCCCATGCAGTGCGCCTGCCGGGCACCTATGTCCCGTCGGGCCCCACCTTTTCCCACCAGCGTCCACGCGGAAGCCCGTGCACGCGGGGTCGTCGACTAAGACGGCCGGGCTACTGCCAGGACGCTGGAAACACGCGCGGCAGGATCCACACGCGGAACACCCAGAGGCCGCGCGCTGGATACACACGTGGAGGATCATTGCGCCTTGCCATACGAGGGCCGAGACCTCGAAAGACACCTGGACACAAGTCTGCCCTGGCTCGCGCCCAGGCCAGCCGCACCGTGTGTCCAGCCTCCGGGTGTACGGCGCAAAAGCTCTGCGGTGCACAGGGCCCAGTCACGCGAACACCCGCCACCACTCCTCATCTCCTTCCCTTCCTCCCGTCCCCCCTCCCTGCCCCCGTTGGGATGGCCTCAGGGGATTGGGGGGGGAGCGAGCGGCTCCCCGAGGCCCAGACGCTTGCTCTTGCGCCAGCCCGTGGCCCCCAGAGCCCCCGACCCTTCTGCCTGGGCAGGCGGACATCATCGAATCGACAAATGGGATCGGATCGGAACAAACATCGAATCGGGCTGCATCGGCACGGAGTCGGAACAAATTCGAATCGGCCGCGCCACGATGCACACCAGCGCCCTGGAAACATCTGGCAAGAATCGTCGGAATGTCGGCATCGAGTCGGACCGAGCCAGCCGAGACCGAAATCGAACCAGAGCGATCGGATCGAAACGGACACTGCTGGCACACGTTGCTCACCCCGGATCCGTCGCTTTCTGCTCCCAGGGCCCAGAAGCGAACCTGGGAAATGAAATAAAGGAAAAACACCAGAGGATGCGCCCGGAAATCTCCGAAAGCCCTCCGAGGGGCCCCAGAGGCCCCCAGCGACCTCCAGAAGCTCGAGGAGGAAGGAAAAAAAAGCATAGGAAACCTCAACATTGAACCTCAATCGTTGAACCTCGATCCTCGTATACTTCCATGGCGACACCTACCAACATCGAAACTCGACCGAACCGATGGCGAAATAGAAATCTACCGAAGTCGACGAAACGAAACCAGCCCACCAAGGGCGCAGCGGCGCAGCAACCAGCCAAGCCGAACTGACCGAATGCAGTTGGCTGCGCAGCAGCCGAACCAACCACACCGCGGACACCCTCCCAGACATCCGACGACGTGTTGCTCAATTCGTGGCCCCAAAGGTCCCGACCCCTTCCCCAGGAGTAGCGCTCTGGAAAAGGACCATGTCTGCTGGTCCAGGGGCCCGAAAGCGGACCCTGGAGGCCGAAATCGAAAACGAAGACCTGGATAGAAAAAAACATATCGTCGCAGACTATTTCTGAAAGTCCTGGGGCCGGAACACGGACCCCTGGAGGCCGAAATCGAAAAAAACCTTGATTAAAAAAAACATCGTCGAAGATCTGGGCGGAGGAGGAGGAAGGAGGAAGGAGGAAAGAGGAGGAGGAGGAAGAGGAGGAGGAGGGAGGATGAGGAGGAGGAGGACCAGTGTAAACCCAAGAGGCATCAACGATGTTGGAATACACCCTCCCTCCAAGCTCCCTCTTCACAGGTCCCTACAAAGGTTCACTTTTACTGGGGGAACTGCCTCGTTGGAAAACAACTGTTTGAAGACCCTGAATCATGCCAAGACATTGTTCTCGGGATTCCAACGTCACGGATCAACTTGACTGTTGCGTCTTGGCGATCATGAACCGCGCCAGGACGCCATTCCTGGGACTTGAACACCGCGAATCAACGCTTGTGCACCCTCATAAGCCTGAACCCTTCCAAAACACCATTTCCGGTGCGATGACCATGGAAATCCGCGAAACTCTTGCTAAGGTTAAAGACGAATGTGCGCGGCGCTCACGCGAGAATCACATTTTGAAAACGACTCGCCCTCAATCCGTCAAACTCTTGCAATTTGTTTAAACGAATGTGCGCGGAGCTAAGGCGAGAGCCACATGTTTAAAAGATGCCGCCCTCAACCCGTGAAGCTTTTGCAAATGTTTAAGACGAGTGTGCGCAGCGCTAAGGCGAGAACCACATGTTTTAAACCACCCGCCCTCCACCTGTGAAACTTTTGCAAACTTTAAAAACGAATATGCGCGGCGCTAGCGAGAGCCACGTTTTGAAAACCAGCCGCCCTCCACGCGTGAAACTGTTGCAAATGTCTAAGTTTCAGAATCATAAATGGTGAGGAGATCTCGAACGAAACGCCCGGCCCGCCCTAAGAACTGGCCTCGGTGCGACAGGACCCCCCCCTTTTTTTACTCGACGAGGGAGCCCACGAGGCCTCTGAATAGGGGTGACGTACACTCGGGCCGAGCTGTCGCAGGACCGTGTGGCCCTTGGAACTGGGGTGCTGCGCAGGCATGGGGCGATCGCTCACGCGCGTCAGACGCGTGGGCGGGCAGAAGCATGCTGCGGGTCTCATCTTCTCAGAGAGGGTAGCTGAGCTAATCTGATTGGGCGCCAAAAAACCGACGACGTAATCTAGCAAGTCCTGACCCGCGACGCCCTCTGATTAGGCGTCCTCATCCCATGGCCATCGTTCTGATGACACGGATCGACCTCGGGGTTGTGGCGCTCGGGACTGGTTTCCTGGGATCACTTCTCCGCGAACAAAGACGATGGGCTGTCTTACTCCGTGAGGACCTCGAACCACGTCGCCACTTCGTCCTCGAGCCACCCGGCGGGCATAACTCCTGTCATCCTGGTCGCGATGCCCTCGGCCTGGAACGCCCAGGCGATCGCGCCCCTGAGCGGCCACTGTGGCGCGGCGAGCAACAATTTGACTTTGGTGTTGTCGTGGGGAGTCTCGAGCTTCACCGCGAGGACGTCTAGTTCGATCATCATCTTGTCTACTGTGTGTGTGGGGGGGGTCCTCCTGGTGGCTCGATCTGATCGAGATACACGTTCAACTTCTTTTTGTTGGCGCCCCCCCTACGTCGCACTGCGTGAGAGTTTCGATCATCGTGACCGCCAGTGAGGCTGCGGGGTTGCCAACCGCTCGCAACTTCTCGACCCACTCCTCCCTGGCGGCCGCCACTGTCTGCCTGTGCTGCTCTAGTGTGTCCTCCAGCGCCTTGTCGACTGGATGATCCTTCGGCATGGTGAAGGTGTCTACTACGGTAGCAATGGTGAGCCTCTGCCGCTGCTGTCTGGAGCGCCAGCTTGGTGAGGCTGAGTAGGCACTCCTGCAAATTGCTGTCCTTGCTCGCCCACTTCTTCTCGGTGTGGTTGCCCTTGCGGTGGCGGCGCCCGCCGCGATGACTCTTCTTGCTGCCGTCGCTCTTGCCGCCCTCTCCCTTGCCGCCCTTGTCCTTCTCGGCTGGGGCTGGCGCATCGGTCATCGTCAGGTCGCCGTCCTTGTCGCCCGTGCGCCGCTGCTTGACGGCTGGATTGGAGGCGCTGCCAGAAGCGCCAGACGTCTGGGAGGACGCCTGGAGCCGCCACGCCACCCTCGTTCGCCCTGTGCTCGGCGCGCCCTTCTTCTCCTCGGGGGCCGCTGCCGCCGCCGCCGCCGCCATGGTGCTGAGGTGGTCGTGGCGCCAGCAGCGGTGTGCTCGCTGCCGTGACCCGCCCAGGCCGTGGCCCCGCGGGCGGCGCCTCAGGAAGTCCTGCTGCAAGTGGATCACGCCGTTGTTGTCGTGCAGGTCCTGCGCGCTCTCTCGCCAACCGCCGCCTGCTCCGCGCCTCTGCCAGGCGTCGGAGCGCCTCCCGCAGCCGCGCCCTCGCCTCGAGGCTGTCCCTCACGTCGTACACTGGCGGCGGGGCGACCTGCGAAGGCCCGCATGTGGCAGCGCCGCGAGCGCTGTGGGCTGGCTGGGGCTGTGCGAGTTTGAGCCGATAGCCTACGGAGGTCACAGGAATGTGGGTCGCCAGGTGCCTTCAAAGCTCCATTGGGTCATCATAGTGAAGGTGGCACTCTGGTCGATCCGTATCTGAGGCCAGCGGGCAAGTCGTTTCAGCAGACGGTGTCCATTCATATCGGTGGCGAGTCATCTCGGGGATGCACCTTCCAGCCCGCCATGCTGTGCTCAGGTGCCGTCTCGTGTGGTCCACACAGCTAAATACGGTCTGGCAG